ATTTAAACAAATATGAGAAATTAAAACTAATACCGTAATTTTCTATTGCGGCGAGTTTGTATCAGTTTCGGTGTATCAATTTCGGTGACCAAAATTACGTGTATTTTGAAGATACTTTGCCCGCCGAAATTGAAGCCAATGGAAATCTTAAAAATGTTTCAATTGCGGCGCGGAAAAAAATTTGATCTCAAATAATTAAATTAATAATTGTTTAAATGTGCATCTTTATAAGTATTTGTATCAAAAAAAGATTGAAATAATTTTTTTTAATCATTTGGCAACAGTTATATTAAATATAATAGTAATAATAGTTATTTTTTATGAACGCGCCGTAATTGGTGCACTCGCCGTAATTAGTACACTTACCCTATAAAGTCAAATGACTATTTTATTGAATTGTTAAAAGACATTTGAAAATTTGATTAAATAAACATTCGAACATTTTAAAATTCAATCTTTTAATAATTTGAACTTTTAAAAATGCGATCTTTTACACTAAAAAAATTTATTTAATTCAAATAATCGGTTACTTCATTATTATCAAATAAATGCCTATTTATATCAAATAATTATTATTTGAGTCAATTAAGCGGTATTTTTTTCAAATACAGAAATTATTGGTTCAAATACAATTTATTTAATTCAAATAAAAATTATTTTATTCAAGTAAATATTTATTTGATAATAGTCAAGTAACCGATTATTTAAATTAAATCAATTTTTTCTTCAGTATAATAATTCAGATTTTTAGAAATCCGACATAATTTTAAGATGTATACAAAGTTCAGCCTTAAATTAATCATAGACTTGACTAAATAATTATCTAAAATTAAAATCATTAAAAATCAATAACAGAAATCTAATGCAAAAATCAATAAAAAGGTCTTTAAAATATTGCAACTTAAAATAAGATTCATTGCTTTCCTTAAAATACGATTGTCATTTTACAATGCTTACCTCCTTATCAGTAGCAAAAAGAAAATCTTATTTTAAGAGAAGAAATGAGTCTTATTTTAAGTTGCATCTTTTTATTACAGCCTTTGTTGATTTTATGAGCTTTCATTAATTAAAGTGCAAAAATTTAAATTCATCAAAATTTTACTTTCAATCTAATTTTTCACACTAATTTTACTTTTTAGACTTATAAAATATAAGATTTTCGATGTTCACATTAAATTTGTTATATTATACGCTGTATAATATTTTTTAAATGTGGCTTCATTTTGGTTATGAAAGGAAATTTTTGTGATAATGTTTTATTTAAGAGGGATGAAATGTAATTGAATTTTTTATTGTCTGAGTAAAATGTAATGGTAATAAGAAAGTAATATGTCGATTAGGGAGAATTGAAAACATTACTGGGAGTGTTTAAAGGCACGTTTAAAAAGCACCTTTCGATGGGGTGGTGTAGAAGACGTGGAAAGGGGGGGGAGAGAAATAGAACCCGTGAGTATACTTATACATTGAGGTATACATAGGTGGGTGCTACTTTCCATTCTTCCGTTATCTCGGCACGGAGAAAGCGTGATTGCCTTTATGGGGGAAGAAAGGGTCTTTTGCGGTAGCGATAATGTCCCTCTGCAGCGCCGGCACCGCGACGCTATCAGAAATAAAACACGGCTCTCAGCGAGGGCAAAGAGAACCTTCCTTTTCTCTCTCGACTTGCACACACTCTCAATCTTTAACCGACTCTCGCAGAGAGATGAAATCATCTTCACTGCCACGATCACTAAAAAAAAATTGCTTATTTTCAATATACGTATTATTCGCATTTTTGATTTTTACTAATTTGTAAAATGAAATTGGTTAGAATTCAGTTGATCATGACTAATTAGTTACATTAGGGTTTTAGGGTTTCTAATTTTTTTTTATTAAATTCTTGGATAATTTTTCTGTAATCATATTTCGTAACTGAAAGTTATATTTTTTGATTAACATTAATTGTTAAAAAAAGTCATTTTTAATTAATTTAGAATTAAAAATTTGACAAAATAATTTATATGCTTTCAACAATTATATGTTTTAGTTTTGACTAAAATTTTTTGGACATGTTTTATACATATTTCTATATAATAATATTTTTTGTTAATCAGATTTTAAAAAAAAGAGAAATGAAATATTTGTATAAAATAAATGGTTATTGCTGTTTGTAAAAGAAAAAAAAAGTGGTTTGTGTAAAAATTTTCGATTGAAATTTCGTATCTGAAAATGCTTAAATAAAGGGTCCTTTGCAGTCTTTCATCTTCGAATTGTCCCTCGCAAAAACATGCCAATACGAATTGATCGTGACATGCTTACAAAAACTGTCGCAGGCGTGATCCTCCCATTTTTTTTACCCTCTATCTTCTCACCCCGACAAATAACACCCCTCTACGACCCTTTTTCGATACCAAATGCATGCCCTGGTGTTATATTATATGAGTGGTTATTCGCGTATCAGACAGAGATTTGTAAAACTGAATTTAATTGACTCCCTCTTTTATAGTACAATACATTAAGCTTACAGGTCTAAATCTGACTTTATAATTCAATTAAAATTCTAGTTATTGAGGATAATTAATTTTTTCCTTCTTCATTTGTTATCTATTGTAATTTTTATTAAAATTGTTTCCAATTTGGTGAATTCAGAATAATATATAAATGATTCTACGAAAACAAGTCATTTTTGAGATAATTTTTTTTTTCAAATTTACTAATTTAATTACAAAAACCTTGGGATTTTTAACATTATAATTATTTCAAGCAATATTATTTTGAAGAATATATTTTTTTGAATTTTATCAAAAACCGTTACAAATCTAATCTCTAAATTTAAATTCAATTTAAATTTAGAGGTTTGATTTGGGAGAATTTTTTTAATTATAATTTTTTAATTCATTTTTAATTTCAAAAATTTAACTTCAAATTTGAATCAGCGACCCCAAAAATTTCCAAGTAAAGTAATCCGAAATTGCGAATGGTCGATCAGACAATCGACAGAAAAATTTTGGCGCGATTTTTAAAATTGTCTAATCAGAAATTGTCATGAAAATATAGTGATTGGTGAATTTTAAAAATCGTGCCGAAATCTTTCTGTCGATTGTTTGTTCGACCATTTGCAATTTCGGACAAATAAAAACTCGGCGTTTTAAGAATTCTGTACAATAAAAATTCGATACATAAGAATTCTGTTAAGTAAAAATTCGTTTAAAAAGATGTTCCTGTCAAATTCTAATTGGAAAAAATAAAAATTCTTCTAAAAATTAATTATATGTAATAAAATTCTTTAACAAAAAAATTCTAACTAATGATTTTTATAGGATAATCATGCGCTTCAAATTTTTATTATTTTAAATATTAGTGATCGTAAAACGTTGCACATGTCAGGCAAAAAATTATAATTTTTTTTAATATTGGATAATCTGAGGGAAGATAAAATGTTTAATAATAAAAATTTTAGTATATTGATAAAAAATGAAGATACATTTTAGATATTTAATAATTCGAAATTTATTTACAAATGGCACTTTATTTTACAGATGAATGTCACAAGACTGACATATTAACAATTATAGTTTTTTTTCCTAACGGCGATAGGTTTAACAATAAGTAGTCTAGTTCAAATTGTTGGTAAATGGAGATTAAATGGAAATTGACATAAGCAGGCGATACTAGGCGCAAATTTTTTTTTTTTTGTCCTGAAAATCTATACATTTTAAAAACTTCGCTACAGCATAATTAATCGTGTACTAATATGTGTAATGAAATTTCCCGGTAGGAATAGAAATTTACACTTGTTATTTATATTATACTTAAACTTAATTATGACAGGTTATGATACAATTGTTTCATTATATTGAATAATTTTATATATATATATATATAACAAAACGAAATTTTTCATTGATAAATTAGAAAGTATCTACAGACATTTTTTTTTAATTATAAATGCAACTTAACAATTTGATAATACGTTTAGATAAATTAAAATTAGTTTCTAATGGTCAGCTTACAAATTATATTTGATATGTATGTAGTACAAAATGATTTTTATTGCAGAAAACGTTTTCGAAAATTTACAATTTTGGGAATGTTGTTTTTTTTTTAGTGAAACTTAAAATCATTTTTTAGCGATGATCAACGAGGAACTTTGACTTGAACATTATTCTATCAAGATTTTGAGTTTTTTTTTTAAATTAATTTAATTCTATAGGTAATTATATTTATAAATAAAATTAATTTTATAGTCGATATTAGGGTATAACAGTGACTAAATAACAAGAATAAATGAAATTATTTTAAAACTTTGTGAGTAAGTAGGAACCTCATTTTAATTCCATAGTTTTTTGCAACTAATCACAAATAAGAAATAGGTATAGTTTACTGAAAAAATTTTTATTTGGGCAAAATAATTTAGTTTTTCTTTAAGCAAAAAATCATTATTTTCTAATTTATAATTTGATTTTTTATTAATTTTAATTTTAAGTTATTTCTTTACTTGTTTGTTATATTATTTATATTTTATAATTTATTTAATTTCCATTCACATAATAGTAAAGTAATAATTTTTATTTGAATAAAATAATTGTTTTTTTTTGTCTAGTTAAAAAATTTGAGTCAAATGATAAGTAACTTGAATGTATAATATAATAATTACATATATTACACATATTTATTTTATTAGATATGTTAATTTAGATATTCAAGTGATTAATTAATTTGACTGAACTATCTTTTTCTAGTGTTTTATTTTCAAAAAAGAAATTTTTGTTTAAAAATTGTTTATATTGCTGTAACGCCAAATTATTTTGCTTCCAAAAACAAAATTTTCAGTCTAAAAATTAATTATTATAATTAGAAATATCACATTTAATAGAAAATATACATAACATAAACAATAAATTTTACATATGAAATAAATTTTAACAATTTTTAGATAAAAAATTCGAAACGAAAACCAAATAAATATATAATTATTATTACAGAAAAAAAAAATTTTTTTTTGATATATATGACTCAAATACAATAGAAATCATTTAAATTTGTTTCGATTTTTTTTTTGTTCATTAATAATTTCTTCTTCATTATACAATAATTGTATAAAGAGATTGTTGAATTTAAATGTAAATTTTAACAAGTTTCAAATATAGCTATATACAGATGTAGAAATAGTATATCTCACGTTGCATTAAAACGCCTGGATAACAAAATGGTACATAAATGTATAGACTGAATCCGTCGTATCTACGTTAGTATTCAGAATGTTTGGCTTATTTCGCATGACTGCTTACCAAAGAAGAGATTTGCTTCCGTTGGATGAGATTTTTTTTTCCATAGTAGGGATAGCATTTCGGCCGGTCGCATGCTGTAATATGTGACGAGAGGGTTGGGTCGATTTTCTCATCAAAATTGGACTCTTCTAACCTTCGCGTATCATGTCATTGTAGAGGGGGAGAGATCTCTTTGTAGGATTTGGTTGTGGTGAGATATCGATTCGATTTTCGCGGACATGCATCTCGCTCTGTGTAACAACTTATCAAAGCTATATACCCTTTTTGGGACATAAGCGCATTTTAGTTTTCACAAAATGCATTTCTTCCTTTCGCAATTCTAAAACTCTCATATATGTATATAGGATTCAAATGAATTTTTATTTTGCCATTTTATATACAAACATGATGAAATATTACATTTTCGTTTTGATTTATTTCAAAGGATTTTTTTTTTATATTAATTTTTTTCCTTTTGCAGATTTAGTGGCTTTTTCACCAGTATATGTCTTTGTGTTTTTTTTTAGGCTTTATTTTTTGTTTTCATGATTTTGTTCAGTATTATCGTATAATCGATTTAGTTTTGTGGTTGTTGATAATGTATTTTTTTTCTAATTTAGACTTGATTGGAATTTCTTTTTATTTCTTCTTTTTGGTATTTGGACAATTCGGACTAGAGATTGATTTGTTAATTCAAGAGAATCTCCTCCTATCGCTGATCATCGTGAATTTAGTTGATAAATAATTTTAGAAGTCTGTCAAAAATTAAAAGTCAATCTGATATAGTTGTTATAAATGAGAAATTCATTGAACACTGGCAACAGAAGAAGTCCTCGGAGTTCTGGAATTATTCAATAGTCTTGAAGCATCATCATCGTCTCGTCTGGACGACATTCCGTTAGTTATAGTTGTCGTCGTTGTGGAGAGATCAGTTGCAGTACAAGATGCTTGGGAAATGGGTGATAAAATTGGAGGCACCCTCCACCAATCAGGTGTTGTCCAATTAGTAATGAGGTTCCCCCGAAAATTGAGATCCGGAAGAACCGGAAGCGGTCTTCATATAACGTGACCCCTCGTTGATGTATTACCCGTGAGACTTTGAACAGAGAAAACACTACTCTCGGTTTTTGTTGTTGATGGTAGGGAACTGAGTACGGTGGATATATTTCGAAATTTCTCAAATCTCTCGGCAACTAGTGGCGATGATGATGAATAACGATCCTGGGATTTGTCCTCTTCTGGTTTATCTGATGATGATGTGAAATTATCCTCAATTTTTCTATAGCAACCATCCTCTCTGACACTGTCCCTATTGTCCAAACTAAAACGATCCTCGTCTGGCTTTACGGGACTTGGAAAAGATGGTTTATCCTCAAGTTTCTCGGGTATGAATGATGATGTTCTTTTTGGTTCTTTGGATGGACTTGGACATCCACAATTTGGTTGAAGACATGTAGGAGTTGTGAGACCTGGCCATGAAACAGATTGATGTCCGGAATAAAAAGTACCTCCTGATCCATAAATTGCTTGGAAGGCTAAATCTGCTGCGAGTTTACCACCGCTGAAATCTTCGCCCAATTTATGTTGAATTGGATAGAGAGGATAGGGAAAATGGGGGAAAAAACGGGGAATTTTGAGATCATCGTGAGCAATTAGAGAATGATTCATTGGTGATGCTAGAGGTGGTATCAAACCTCGTGAAATAGAACTGAGAGAATCGGTTGGTGACATTGTCAAAGGTGAAAGAGAAAAGCCAAATTTATTCTCTTTCTTTACGAGTGATTTTGGCTTTCGACGTGGACGGTATTTGTAATCTGGGTGCTCCTTCATGTGTAGTGCCCTGGAACAAAAAGCAGAGAGCTGTGTTAGGGTCAAGTCGATTTAGTGTTGTTGCTACTGTTGTTATTGTTGAAAAGTCCAACAACTGTTGGACCAAACTTTAGGGACTAGATTAATTGAATAGAGAAAGGGAAAGTCAAAGGCTTTAGTTGTTTGTCACTTGGAATGAAGTTTGAAAGTGTTTTACAAATACTCATGGAAGAAAGGGTGAAAAATGTTTATAATTAGAAAGATAATTTTTCAAAAGTGTTTAGATGATCAGGAAATAATTGATTATATATATATTTCTAAAATTTATCTATGAAAGATGTGTGAATTTCTATCATAGATAGATTGATGAATTGTTATTTTAGTAACAGAAATGTTCTAAGTTTATTACATTTCATTTACTTATTCTTTACTCTTGAGAGTTAATATAACTTCCTTTTTTTCGTTATCGGACTTACAACAAAAAGATAAGTGCTTCTTATTTACCATCCACTCATGTTTATATTTGCTGTATATTTTTAAAATGTTTTTTTTTTAAATATATATATAGTAAAGAATTAATTGTTTCCTCAGTTAGAAAAAGTATGATGCATATAAAACATTCTTATTGATCTTATTTTTCTGTTTAAAAATATATATCAACAATAATATTAATTTTGCAATTATTATTCTTGATATTAGTATGATAATTTTTAAAAATATCCTGTTTTAAAGATAATTTTATGCATTTACAAGTTTGTTGCTGAAATTAGTTTTGTTGCATGTTGATTAAAATACATTAAACACGACATTTATGATGGGCTTGACTTTTATTTTCTAAAGAAATTTCACTATCTTACGGAAAGGGACAGTCAAATCGCTTTGTTTCCTTTGTTTTGCTTTCATACGAATCCCTGAAATCCGTATGATAAGCGGACTTTAGATAAAAGACACCAGGTGATGTGATTCTGGGAACACTTTGTAATCTTTAAAAGACTGCGTGTAAACTTCTGTTTTAAAAAGATATGCTCAAAATAATAAAATGATAAAACATCTATATTCTCTCGGAAATAAATTCAATATTCTTTTGTTTCATAGACAATAGTATCAAATAAAATTTTGAACTATATATTTTTTAAATTGAATCATTATGTTAATTACTTTTTCTAATGTTACATTTTTTATTAATAGAATACTTTTATAATGGTACGTAATTATTCGTCCATAATGGACAATTTTTATTCATACCAAAAACACTTTCCTTAATAATTTGGGAAAATAAAAATGTGGTCATGGGAGTTTTAAGAATGAGTTAAATAAAAAAATAAAATTAAAATTCTTTTAAAGAAGAATGGTATGTATGGCATTATAGAAATTATATAATAGAAAGATAGAACTAAATTTTTTGGTGTGGCAAATAAAAGTAGGCTTTTAAAATCAAGTTATGGAATTAATGCGTTAAAATCAGTACAATGGAACTTACTATCGTCGCGTAGAGGTTTTTAAAAAGATATGAGTTACCATGGGTATTTGTAGTAAATATCTTGTACATACAAGGAGGTCGGAGGGGGCGCAAAGTATGATATCTCCGTCACATAATGCTCCATTATGTACCCAGCACCGCACAAACGTAGCCCTTATTTATGCTTCGCTTCGCGGAGATAAAAGAAAAAGAAACATTCTTAGAGCTTTCGCGTATTCCGTATTGCCAAGAACGCTCATGAAAAAAAAAAAAAAAAAAAAAAAAAAAAATTGAGACTCGCCCATTTTGTCACGTATGAAACAGGATTCTCGCGCATGGAATACTTTTTTATCGACACTCCGCAGAATAAAAGTCCAACTTGAATTCAACTCCTCTTTTTACAAAGATCTTTCTTTACAAAAAAAAAAAATTCGTCATTTCATTATATGTATGATAAAAAGAATTTTCATAATTGTCACTTAAAAATAGAAATGTAGAAAAATCTAGCGAGTATAATTAATAACACTCGGATTAATTTGATGGTGTTTTTGAATTATTAAAAAAAAATTAATATTTTAATTTTAAATTAACGTTATCAAGAAAAAAACATTATAATTCAATTTTAGTACATAATCATTAAAGCGAATTATTTTTATAAAATTACCAATAAAATGTTTTGTTGCGTCAAAATGTAAAGCACACTTTTGGTATATATATATATATATATATATATATACAATAATACATTGTGTGTTTCTCATTTTGAGAACAATATTTTGTAAAATTTGAGAATTTAATTATGAAATTAGAGAACAGTGTAACGAAGATTGTAAAGTAGAGAAATGATTGTATTTTGTATATGAATAAACAAATCAATCCCAAGAATAGGAATATAATGAAACGTTTGTTTGTACGAGTTTGACGGGCGTTTGTTTCGAGACTAGAGAGTCTTTTGGCAATAATGAAATTGTGTACGGCCGGTAAATTTCGTTAGGAGACGAGTGCACGAAACAGAAGCCATGAAAAGCTACGATGGTGTGGGAATAATGTAGGAGAGAAATGGAATAATAATTCCGGGACAATGTGTCCCGGTAGATAGCACAAAGCGTAAATCAGCATAAACATTGGTAAAGCTCCGACAATAATTCAGCATAAATGCATAAACATCGAGCGTAATCTTTACAATTCACATTCGCGATAAACAGCGCTATTTCGTTGCCGCACCATAAGCTTCTATAAGTCGAAGGTGTAAATAAAATCAAATCACTAACAACTCCTAATGACTTTTGTAAAAATTTTTTTTTTAATTAAAAAAAATTTTGTTTTTTTAATTTATCGCTATATTTACTGTACCTATTTTTTTGAAATTTTTATTTTCCTTTTTTGTTTTTATCTCATTCTATTATATTTTATTTTTTACAATTTAGAATTTATTTTTTGAAAGTTTTGATTTGTTTAAATTATTTGAAACTTTGATGTTCGGAAAAACGACTTGAATTCGCCTTCATTTTTTCTCCAATCTTGAGTTATTATTATTATTATTATTATTATTAATTAAAAAATTATTGTAAGACAAAATACGAGAAAGCAAAATTTTGATATCAGATAGACTAAACTTTAAAAACAAAAATTATATGAAGTTTAGTACTTTCTAAATTTGAATTAGTAGTTTTCTATTAATGAAAGAGTGCGTATTCGTTTACCAATTGAATTAGTAACAGTTTTGACTAATTTTTAGAAAAAAAAAAAACTACTAAGGAACCATATTTTAATTACGTAAAGCTTCATAGGGATGGGGGGGGGGTCAAGCTATTTGTTACACACAGCAAAAAAATAGCGCTAATTTATACAAAAATCTGTTACATGGGGGAAGGTGGTTCAAAATTCAAAGAAAAAGCGTTACGTAATTAAAGTATGGCCCCTAATTGCTAGTAGAAAACTAATAATACATGGAGTAAATCGGCTTACTAATTTAAAATAGTAAAAAATACGACTTACTCCATGAATTAGTGGTTTCATACTCGCAATTAGTATTTTTTTTACTAAAAATTAGTGAAAACTGTTACTAATTCAATTGGTAAACGAATACATAAATTAGTAGTAAACTACTGATTTAGATTTAGAGAGTAACAAATTTTAATAATATAATTTTCAGGGTTGCCACAAAAGTTAGGGAAGTCAGGGAAATGTCAGGGAATTTACTAAAAAGTGCTGGAAAAATGTTGTAAACCTAGATTTTCATTAAAATATTCATTTGTTATGAATTTATAAAACAAAATAACAATTTTACTGAATTACCTAACTCGGAGTGATCGATATCTACATACTATATATAATTTTACTGAATTATTTGTAGAATTTTTATTTGACCCAAGTTTTATTTGATCGAAATTTCATTTGACATAATTTTTGATAGAATTTACATTTGATAGAAAAAAACAAAAATATCAGGGAAAATTATTTTGAAATTTTTGTGACAACCCTGATTTTATGTATTAAATTTCATATAATAAGTTTTTTTAAAATTAGTATTTCTGATATCAAAATTTTGCTTTGTCACATTTTATCCTACAATTTTAAAATACTTTTATAAAATTTAATTTTCGCAAAATTCAAAGTCTCTATAAGTATTTGATAAAAGCTCCCATTATCCTCGCTCTCCCATTACCCCGCACCTACCTCTATCAATTTTTTTTTTTTTTGGAGGTCCCAACAAAATTTTTATCGTTTCATCTATAAAATTTTTATACACTAAAAAAAAACAGCTTGCACTGAAAAAAAATTCTAGTTAGAATAACCAGAATTCTAGTTAGAATAACCAGAATGGTATACCCTGGTTAGGGTATATTTAACATTTTGATTCTGGTTAGGTTAACCAGAATTCTGGTTATTTTAACGAGAATTCTAGTTAATTTAACTAGAATTCTGGTTAACATAACTAGAAAGTAATGTTAAATATAGCCTAACCAGAATTTTTTTTTCAGTGTGGTTTTGACAACAAAACGTTTGGTTGGTATTTAGACAACCAACATTTTTTTGTTACCTCAATCAAACTTTGGTTGACATAACAAACAAAATTATAGAAAAAAGGGTTTTATGTTGTTTAAAGTAAAGTTTGGTTGGGACAACAAATATTGTGTTGATGCAACAGAAAAATTTTAAGTTGCTTAAATATAACAACCAAATGTTTTGTTTGTCAAAATCAAACCACTTTCCAATGTAAAAATTGTGATATTTTAAAAAAATTTTTGTTGACGTAACAAAATATAATGATTGATTTAATGAAAATTTATTGTAAGAGACAATTAAAAAATTTTGTTGTTAAAACAAACGTATTTTTTCTCACAATAAATATTTGTTTGCAATATAATATTTTTTTTTTTAAAAAACGCGATTTTCTCTTTAAATTTTGTTTTGTACTCGCGCGACTAATCGGTAAAATGGAGCTTTATGATGCGTCGTCGAACTGTTTCCGGATGATCTTGGACGTTGCTCCAGGATAATGTTGCAGTTCGGTGCCGGTATATAGGACGTGAAAATGATGTGGGGTGTGAGTCTAGAGGGAGGCTGAGGGTGTGTGTGTGTGTGAGAGAGAGACTCGTCGGACGGGCAGAGAAGAGGAGGCCACGGAGGCAGAGAGGCGCAAATCCTTTTAAATCCACACAATTGCGACAATGGGGCTTTATTTGTTATCTCGAGGGCCACATTGTGAGTCGCCGTGAACGAACGGACAGATTACGTCGGGCTAGTGACAGCGTGGCGTCAACGGAACGACGTCGTCGGCACCGTGGCCAGTTTCAGCGGAACGACTTTATCATCCTGCTTTTTATTTTACGACCCCATCCCCCCCCTGTCTTCTATCGTCGTAAAAATGGATTTGGAAATACCGTCATCGAATTCTTTCTTTACACCTTGTCTTCATCTTCTTCTTCTTCTTCTACTTTTACTTCTATCATTCCCTATATATTTCACCCTCGCTTCTTTCCTACCCTTTCACTTTTTTTTTCTTTTTATTTTGTTACGCGCTCCCACCGAGATAGTACCAATGCACGCCTTTTCAATTTCCGGCCAACGTCGCCTCTTCCGGGGATATCGCAGTTATACTCGCATGCTTCAAAAACAGAGTATTTATTTGTTTATACGCACAGTCTTGACCCTCAATGTTTAAAAACTCCCGCGTTTACTTTATGTAGAAACTTTCAAGTTTTTTAAATCTATTACTATTTTAATTATTAAAATTTATTACCTAACTTATTTTTTATTAAGTAACGATACTTATTTTTTATGTTGTTTTTTTATTCTAATTTTTCTAACAAAATTAAGATTTATATATAATATATTTTATTATTATTTATATATAGGTACACGCAAAAAAAATCTTTTTTTTGCACACGGAAAAAAAACTTTAACTGGAATAGCGATATTATTCTCTACTAGAATAGCAAAAACTTTCTCGGTTTTAGTGAAACATATCGCTGCACCAGGTGAACAATTTTTTCCGTGGATTTATTTGAGACAAATAAAATTTCTTTTAATCAAATACCAAAATATTTGTCTCAGAGCCTAATAACTTTTTATTTGTTTTAAACTGGTTCCCTTTTAAGGGATAATTTTTCGAAATTTACAACCTGAGAAAAGATATATTTAATTCAGAGACAAAAAAAATTTATTTGCGCTAAATAAAATTTTAGTTGTGTTAAATAATTTTGTTTATTTAAAACAAATAAAAAGTTATTAGGCTCTGTGAAAAATATTTTTTTTATTTGATATTTAAATAATTTTTATTTTTCCTAAATAAATACAAATTAAAGATTTCTCCTATTATGGTGTATATACATTTTTTTGTTATTTACAACAATGAAAAAACAAAAAAAAAAATTTACAAAGGATTTTCTTTAATATGAATCTGGAAAATTGAAATAAATTGTTATAAAACAATTATATTTCAATAATTTAAGGTTAGATTTATGTTTATAAAATAAGATAAAAAATATTATAAAGTAGAAAATAATCTTTGTCATGTTTTTTACTTTATAATATTTTTTTTTTACCTTATTTTATAAACATAAACCTGACTTTAAAATAAAATTGTGATGCGCTCTAAAAAAAGTACCTTAGAAGTAAACGAATTTTAGGTTATGTTTACGACAGTTTTAACTTGATTAAAAGTTTCTGTTTATTTATGTAAAATCCAAATTAGTTTTTATTGAATATTTTTGATGTAATAAAGACGTAAACATCAATGATTTGTATTGAGAATTGATTCTCTTTGTGTAGTTTCACTTCAAAATTTTGAAATAATCTATAATTCTATAATAAAAGCACAATTTTCCCTTGAAATGGAACAGTTAATAATGTTCGAAACTAGTTGAGAGTATAATAATTATATAAAAACCAAATAACCGTTCTAGGCCTTTTCATTTTATAATTATATTAATATAAAAAACGGTTATAACAAAATACAAATTAAATTTACTTAAAACAAATAAATATATTTATTTGTCTTTAAGAAAACCATATCTTTGAATATATTATTATTCCATTTAAGATAGGTATAAAATAATTTTAGATTAAGGTTTGACTGTTGCAAGATTTTTGCGCGAAATGATTGGAGAATAATTTTCAAATGAGGCGATATTTGGGGTATAGAAAAATATTAAAAATATCGATCAATCGGATTATTATCTTGGAATTATTTGCGATAACTCGCCGCTTCTGAGCTCAGTGAACTAAATAAACTCATAACAGTGATTAAATATTCAGGGTCGGCAATAAAGCCCCCCCCCCTCTCCTTCGTTCTCCACAAGTGCTACCCTGTTCTTCTGATATCCTACCCCAGCTTAGAGAAGCACGCCCTTAGCTTAGTAACAATGTACAATATTATGAACTACGTTTCTCCCCCTTTCGTTATGCAGGCCTACGTAATAATTTCATTCAAGTGTTCGTATCTAAAGAGCAATTAACCATGGCGAAAATTCGGTGTTATGGAGATAAAACTGTTTTATATGCGCGCGAATATTATAAATTCATTATGTAGTCAATAATTTCGCAAATTCAATTAATCTGACATACACTGTATTATATGGATATTAAATTTTAAGCTATATTTTTTATTTGTTTTAATTCGACAGCAATTTTCTATTTCTATATAAATACTGCAAAAACTATCTGTCTTAAAAGTGCAAAAAAGCGTCTTGTTTTAAGACGTTTTCCAATCTAAGATATACCAAATGTGTCTGAAAACAAGAAGTTTTTTGCACTATTAAGATGGTCAGTTTTTATGGTGAATGCCCTTTTAATAAAGTTTAAAAATTTTTGAGTATTACAAACATTTTTTTTATTCAAAAGTTTTAGTTTAAATTAAGATTAGTCTTATTTTTAAGACTGACTTAACTTAAGATTTATCATGATACAAAATTTACTTTGCGTTTTTAGGTTTAAAATAATATATGATTAATCCTTAATAAATTCGAATCAACCAGAAGTGGGCCATAGTTCTGTAATCATGAATTAAATTAGGTATTTAAATTAAAAATTTTTTTTTTTTGAAGAACTAATTATTGACAAGGCTTTAAAAATCTAATATTTTATATATTACCGGAAACAAGAAAACTAGATAATAAAGAATTATAAATCTAGAGCTTATCTATATACCTCAAGTATTTTATTTGTATTATTTATATATTATATTTGTATGTCAAATAAAAACTTTTGGTATACAAAGTTTTTTTGTTCTATATAATTTGGATAGTTATGAAAATGTTTTTTAAAGTAAATACAATATAAAAATGACAATAAGGAAATTTTTTTTTTTGTTGGTTGATAATAAATTGTTTGATATGTTAAATGTCGCAGACAGGGGAGTACACTTATAGAGAAATATATTTTATTTGAATCATATATATATAATTTACTTGAATTGAGTATAGGTAAAAATGCATTAGTCTCAGTGCTAATAATATGAATAAATAACTATATCTATTCGTTTCAAACTTTTTTTAAACTTTGTATTTGAAACAAATAAATATTTATTTAGTTATGAGACAAATATATTTTTTCTCTGTAAAAGATTTTCAATACAAATTTTCTCTTTATTTCTAGATTTTTTTAAACTTATACACACAGAGAAATATTTTATTGGCGTTCATTTGAGACAAACTCTCTAAATATAATATGAATCAGTGAAAAAGTCACTGGTCTCAAATTAGTCACTAAATTGTAGCTATTTGAATCAGTGGTTTTCGCACTGACAGTTAGTGATATTTAACTGGAGAATCAATTACTTTCACTGAAAATCAGTAAAATGTTACCGATTCAAATAACTATAATTTAGCGACTGATTTAAGACCAGTGACTTTTTCACTGATTCAAATTTAGAGAGAATAAAATTTATTTTGGTTAGTTAATTCCTATGAAAGATTTATTTATGTGAACTAAATAAATATTTATTTAAACTAAATAATTTTTATTTTAGTCAATTGAATGTTATTTGAACTAAATGACTTTTATTTATATTTAAAATTTCGTTTTTCCGTGAATGTTATTAATAAACATTTAATAAGTAAATAATAATTTTTAATGTTTTGAATTATTCGGGAAGAGATTAGAAATGTATTAAAAAAATCGTTAAAATTTGAATTAAAATTAAATTAAATTTTCATAGGATGAAAAATCATTTTCAACTTACCGTAACCTTTTAGCCTCATCGATAAAGGGTCGTTTCTCACTTTCACTGAGGAGCTTCCATTCAGCACCTAACCTCTTGGAAATTTCGGAATTATGCATTTTTGGATTCTCCTGTGCCATTTTTCGACGTTGTCCTCGAGACCAAACCATAAAGGCATTCATTGGCCTTTTAATATGTTCGTTGTGAAGAGATTTTGCTGACATGTCGTTATTAAAAATTTTTCTCAATTTGCAGTAATTTGCAGCACCCTTCTTATTAATGTTTTTCTTCACTTTAATCACTATTATTTAGAATCAAATATTTCATTATGATTGTTTTTTAAATGATTTCTCATTCGGCACAAACAGTTTCTTCGCCAAAAAAAAAAATCCACCAAATTTATTAAATCTGTTTTTGACTTCACTGAAATGTCTATAACACTATTTTCAAATGATGTTGAATATATAGTCACTTGTTCGATTTGTTCATTTACCGTATATTGTACCCTTTATTCCGCGAAAAAACCATCTATCAACGCTGGTCCAACTTTTTTGATTCCATGGTATTTGCAATTCAATGTCATGACGTTAGAACCTGAATGAAAAAATTAACAATGCATTAAATTACATTCTTTATATATAATTTAATAAAATTTTCATTTTTACTCTTATTCTTAAAGTTTTTTTTTTTTTTTACATAGTTCCAAATGTTTCGTACCATTCATTAGTTACGAATATTTCATATTGAAACTAATGCAAAATTATTGTTATAATTGATAAATATTTTTTTTTGAAAATAGTAAACAAAATTATATAAAATATCTATAGGTGAATTCAATAATAATATCTTTGCACAGACATTGAGATCAATTTTCAGAATTCCCTATTGGATAACTTTCCCTTTCGGAATAGAATATGGATAGCAAGACTGATAAAATTTACATACGAGGATTATCTTCGAATTTGGTAAATCTTGATTTCCAGCGAAAAGGTGTCTTTGACTTCTTTAGTTGTAAGAAAGTGAAATCCCAAGGAAAACTTTTACTTGTATAAAGACAGCACGAACAATTGAATTTTTCTTTTTTGAGAGAGAGAGAGAGAAAGAAATTTGTTTGTTAACGAAAATTATTTTTAGATACGAGTGAAATCGCGTAGGATGTCACAGGGACGTTGTCAGGGTGAAGTGAAGAGATTCTGCGGAAACATTTACGGGGGTTCTAAACGGGATCCCGAGGGAGAGATGAGGGAAGCTCGAGTGAGCCAACCAGACAAGCTCTTCTACTCCCACTACATACCATCACTAATGCACACCCACGATTGGCTCTTTTCTTGACATGGCGGACGCCGATGTGACGTATTCAACAGGTGGAAAGTTATTCTCTCGCACCACCTCAAAGTTCTTCCCAATACCAACTAGGAAAAGCTCACGGATGTTCTATCAAGCGAGAGGATTATCGCCCTTTCAACATCCTGACCTTAAATGCACACATGCCACAAACGTGGCTAACTGTTCGATTATTCACTCCTTTCATGCAATTGTTTCGTCATTAGACGCACGTTATAATTGATTCATTTCCAGAATAGCAATATAGTTGTTTTAAAAAATTGGTTTTTTTTATCAGTGCACTGAGAGAAACGATTGGTTGCAATTACCTTTTCGTTAGTAAGAGCATTTTTGCTAATTTATATTAGTTACTGTTACCATTTAATTGGTCAGCCTAACCACTTCGTTAGTAAGGTAACTAATTAAATAATTATTCCAACACGGAGAAAAATGAAAAACGAATAAAGTAAATTTTACTACTTTAAAAGTAAAACTGGAATTGTTCGCAGTTTCTGCGCATTTCTGGAAATTTTTACTCCATAAATAGTAAAGTTTACTCCGAAAATAGTAAAATTTACTTCTAAAATAGTAAAATGTACTCCTAAAATAGTAAAAATTATTCCGGAAATAGTAAATTTTACTATTTCTGGAATAAAAATTGCCAGAAATGCGCAAAAACTCCGGACAGTTCCGGTTTTACTTTTAAATTATAGTAAAAGTTACTTTTATTCGTTTTGCCGCATTTTTCTCCATGAACAAATTAATTAGTTAAACCAACTAATGAAATAGTTATGCTAACCAATAAAAATAGTAACCACAACTAATAAATTAGCAACAGTATAGTTTACTAACTAAAAATGGTCAAAAAAGGTAACCCCTACCATAATCTTTTCTCTTAGTGTGGTGTTAGGAAAAGTCGAATATTTGGATCTTTATTAGCTCAATAAATTCCACTCCAAATTGGATTGAAAATGTACTCCAGTGGTGTTATAAACTGTAAAAAATGGGGGTTAGATTATAACTCCCAACGGGACTCTACATAAAAGTCCCACATTTTTGAAGTTAAAGCAAAGGGAGTTGTTACTATATGGGAGTTAATTTTATGCCTAGGGAGTTAATGCTAAGAGAGTTAATCTAATGTTAACTCACTTTTGGAGTTGATTTTCGACTCCAAAAATTCTAGTTTATAATGTTCTTGACTTTTTCAAGTTGATGCTACAGTAAAAAAATTGAGGAATTAATGAAATTAACTACCTTTACTTCAACTCCAAAAGGGTGAGACTTTTATAAAGTCCCGTTGGGAGTTAAAATGTAACTCCCTTTTTTTACAGTATAAGGTAGTTAATCTAATGTTAACTAACTTTTGGAGTTGTTTAACTCAAAAAATTTTACACAGCATTTAATTATGCTTCAAAAAATGGAATTAAAATGTAACTCCTTACGAAATTTTATATAAAATTCCCATTCTTTTGGAGTTTAAGCAAATGTAGTACGCTGTAAAATATTTGGGCACTTAATGTCAGCTCGAGTTGGTTAGTAAAATTTTTGGGAGTTAAAAAACAACTTTAAAAATGAGTTAATCATATATATTAGATTAAAATTAATTCTTTAATCATCAACTCACTTTTGCTTCAACTCCAAAAGGGTAGGAGTTTTAAAATATATTGTTAGGAGTTAAATTTTAACTCCATTTTTTTACGTTTATTGGTGACAATTACTTACTATATAAAATTTTTTTGGAGAGTTAATGGCAGCCGGAGTTGATAGTAAAATTTTTGGGGTTACAAATCTACTCCAGAAGTGAGTGAATATTAGATTAAATTCCTTAGCATTAACTCCAAAAAGGTGTGAATTTTAAAGAATTCTATATTGAGAGTTGAAATCTATCCCTCCCGTTTTTTTTACAGTGCATAGTTTAAAATTCCTTTTGTATTTAACAACATTAATTAAACTCTAAATTTTAAATATATAAGAAATGACATTGCTTTAAACAAAAGTGTAATTTCACAGTAATTTTTGGAGTGAAATTCGCTATCAATTTAAAATGAAATTTCATATATATATAAAATTGAATTGAAATTGCATTTTATCTTATTGAATTTTACACTAGTTGAAGGAAAATTAACTTTCTGCTTGAACAACTTATCTGTGAAATCTTTTCGAAGTAAAATCGATGCTAATAAAAATCATCTTTTTTTTTAATTTCGCCCTATAATGGAATAGAATTTTTACCTTAAAGCGTAGTAAAAATATATAACTATATGTATAACATTGTCAACAATATACTATCAGATATCAATTCTTTTGATAAATGAACACAAGATTTTAATAGAGAATTAATTTTTCTCGATTGTCAATATTCATCTTCTTCATAATAAGAAGTTGGAGATATATATATATATATATATATATATATATCTTGTTGTGTAAATGTTATCGATGGATAGAATGAAAATGATGGAGAAAAAGGGCTGGGTTGTGGACGTTGAAGCTGGAGACGCTCTGATAAGAGATGAGAGTGGAGGAAATCGTCAAGAAGAGAGGGGATTCAGAGAGACACTCTCAAGAAGTTGAGGGGTTGTAAAAAGAGTAAAATGAGAAAGAGAAAGAGTGAAAAGAAGGCGGAGCACCGCGTCAAGTAACTTTTATTCTACTCTCAAACTAAAGGCACTATAAAATCTACTCAATAAAAATTTTAACATTTTCAAAGAAGGAATGTATATATCTTCTATATATAAATATACATATACATATATATTGTATTCTTCATTTCTTTTTTAGTACATATTCGAGTTCTTCATTTTTATACAGAATTGTAAATTTTTTTGTTAAAATTTTTTTTTTGGAAATTTTCTATCTTTTTCATTTCTGATCCTTTTCTTTTATTTGTGTGACAGTTTTCTTATTTCATTTTTTCCATTTTGGAAATTATTTTAAAAAATTGGTGGAAATTGCATTAAGGACGTTTTCCGGCTACTAAATATTTTTGGAATAATTAATTTTTTATGTCATCTTTAAATTTTTAGAAATCATTCCTTTATGTGTATTAATTTGACTGTCCCGTGTCGAAATTTGGATCCACTTTAGCTTCTTTTAGAACCTGAATAGTATACCTTAAATTTTGCCACAGGTTGGTAGAAATTTCAGAATTTCATGCAATTATAAAAATTATATTGTATTTATTTTACAATAAATTTCACGTTTCTAACATATTGTATGGGGTTCTAAAATTTTTACTATTTTTAAAGTAGACATATATACATAATGCAGTATTTTCTATATTAAAAATTGCAATTACTAAATAATTTTTTTTTTTTGAACAAAGAAAATGATTGATTTAGGTGTTGCATCAGAGATATACAATGAATATAAAAATAATGTGAAAAAATTGGTTGGATGTTGGTTGGCAACCCTTCGACTTGATGATGAGGCAAGGTAAAGTGACTTTTCTATATATAATCGTGGTTCTCTCTCTTTCTCTCTCGAATCGAATGATAGGAAAGGCGTGGATGGGGTGCCACGCGACCGCTGATTATACCATTCATCGCCCAACAGTATTTGAAAGAGGGTGCGAGACATAAACGCCGTCGCATCCACTATCCCTGAATGCTTGCTCATCAATGAGACAATTCGACTTTTCGACGGAACGAGCGATCCTTCATTTCAGGATGTATACTTTCTTTAACTTTCACTTTTCTTTATATAGATAAATGCAGATTTTCCTCAACAGGAAATCTCATTTCTTTCCAAGTTTGACAGAATTGTTATATATATATATATATACGTGACGCGATCTGAAGAAAAGGACCTTAGAAGCAAAAAATTATAGGTTACGTTTTAAAATTTTAAAGTGAAAATACACAAAGATGTTTAACTGGTAATACAAACTAATGATATTTATGTCTTCTTTATACATCCAAAATATTCAATAAAAACTGATTTATATATTTTTTTATATATTTACTTTTTAAAATTAAAATTATTAAATTTTAATTAATAAATTAATTAAATTAATAATAAATAAATAATTAAATAAATTAAAATCGACATTAAGAAATTATTTTTAAAAATAATTTCAATGAAATTGCCTAACAACCAATAAATTATTAAAAAGTCTTGAAACGAACAATAACCTTTAAATTCAAGTCATTTTTGGCGGAAACTCCACCTTCACTTGCGGCTATATTGAAAGTCTTGAAATTTACATAACCTTAAAATTTATGTCATTTTTGGCGGGAAATACAGAGAGATGAGGAAAGGGGGAAGGACTTACTGCTTCATTAGGGTCTTAAAACAAACATAACCTCAAAATTTAGGTCATTTTTGACGGAGGAGGGGAAATGAGAGGAGGGAGGGGGACTTGCGGCTATATTCAGAGCCTTGAAACGAACATAACCTCAAAATTTAGGTCATTTCTGGCGGGGGAGGGGAGGGGACTTGCGGCTATATTCAGAGTCTTGAAACGAACATAACCTCAAAATTTAGGTCATTTTTGACGGAGGAGGGGAAATGAGAGGAAGGAGAGGGACTTGGGGCTATATTCAAAGCCTTGAAACGAATATAACCTCAAAATTTAGAAGGGGGGACTCCCCCTTCCTAGGTCAAGAATTCTTGAAACAGCGGCGGCGATATCTTTTTGTAATATAGGAAGATATACCCATATAGAATTAATCTTCGTTCTAGAGGATTTTTTTCATTTCAATGCAATTTTTTTCTTTTATAGAGGAGCTAGGAAATAGTTGTATCGTGTCATTTTTACCGAAATTTGAACTTTTTAATAAATTTTAATTATCCGATTTAATCTTATCCTGATAACAAATAATTTTAACTGATTATGGAAGGCCAAAGAAACATTTCTTTACAAAGCTCGATTTTTTACTGCTTGTCTATTATTGTTATTTTTATAAATCTTCTTGCAATTCTTGCAATAAAAATATATATTTATTATCTCAACCCTAACCTTCGATTTCAAAAATTTGATTAGGTAATCCGAATATTTAAAATACTTTGTAAAAATGAAGTGCTTACTTTTCATAAATTTAAAATTTTATGTGTTTTATTGTCTTAATTATCTAAATGAGTAAATGCCTTGCACCCTCGTAAATCATTAATTTCTTCAAAATTTTAAGCCGAAATCATTTTTTATTTCCGAGAAAGTTTCAAACCACAAAAAAACGTTCTTTGCCCACATTTAAAATTATTATCCTTACCCTTTAAAATGCATTTTTAAACTTTAAAAAATCTTTACTTGACTCTGAGTTATTGTCATTTGAATGTGTTATACAGGGTGTATTAAAAAAACCGGAGCGGTTACACTGTAAAAAATTTAGGGAGTTAACAGCACTTGGAGTTGGGAGTTCTATTTTTCGAGTTAAAAATCAACTCGAAAAAGGAGTTAACCAAGAATGGAAGGGAGTTTAGATTAGGGAGTTCAGTATTAACTCCCTTTTGAGTTATTTTATAATGGTGGATCATATTCTCCAACTCGTGTAAGGAGTTAAAGTTAAACTCCCTAATCTGAACTCCCTTTGCTTTAACTCCCCAATGGGTGGGACTTTTATAGCATCCCCTGGGGAGTTAAAATTCAACTCCTTTCTTTTACAGTGTAGATATCTCGTAAGGATTTTATTTTAGAGAAAAACGGCAAAGGAAAAGGTGGTCCAATTAGGCCCTTGGGCCTAATCGCGAGTTCCATGTTTTAATAGATTTTTTTGATACACCCTGTATATGTAATTCGTTTCTGAATCATTAATTTAATTTTATGATCAAAAACCTAAGTCGACTTATAGGTCGTTCTTCGAGCGAACGGCTTAAATGTTCTAAATAATAAAAAAATTAGCAATATAATCACATTTGGATTTAGCTAAAGTATAGTTAAACATATTAGCTAAGGTATAGCTAATTATTTTTCTTTCGTGTGGTCAAAATCCAAAAATATCTCTATATTATAAAGTATATAAATAATTGTAAAATATTTCCAAGTTCAATTTTCCTTAGAATGCTTGGTTCACAAACAAAAGCTAATCTCATTTTTGTTGCAACTCAAAATGAGTTAATGTTAAACGACATAGACAGTGGTGCCACCAACCTGACTCATTTTGAGACCGCAGGTTTTTTGCAATTGCAACAATTAGTTACTGTAACCATTTAGTTAATCACCCTAAGCATTTCGTTAATAAGGTAACTATAATTAAATAGATATTACAACAAACTGAATAGTTAAATCAACTAATAAAATAGTTATGCCAACCAATAAAAATAGTTTACTAACTAAAAATGGACACCTCAAAAATGGTAACCCCAACCAATCTTTTCTCAGTGTGGTTATAATAATAGGATATACATATACATATATATATTTTTTTTGTTGCATTAAATTGATAACATTTTATATTATATAAATTATATTCAGAATTGTATAGTAAAGCTTCTATTTGCCATAAAGTTTCATAAAAATGTGACACACATTCTATTTCATCAGTTAAAACTTTGATTCATTATATAGGGGAGGGTTGATATCGTGATGTTGATAATTTCATAATTTACGAACAATAATGGGCTTAGCAAAAGAGGCAGGTCAAATAACGAGGATATAATGCGATACAGCAGTGTGATATCACTGTGTGAACATTACCCGAAGCAACAATCGTTTTGACGCTCACAAAAGAAAAGCTTCGCTGATTATACACTTTTGTTGAAAAGCTTGTTTTCTAACACAATATAAAGTTTTCCTATATATACACAATTTTATTATAATTTCACTGTAATAAACATTCTCAGTTTTTTTATCTACATTGAAAAATCATCAATATTTTCAAAGAAAAAAAAATATATTAATCACTAAAATTATACAAAATTGTATTAATTTTTTTTTTCAATCGTACATTACATCTATTTGTTTTTGTTTTTTAACAACTCTTTTTACTCTAATTAATTCCTATTATATAGAAAATTTTATAAACTTCGCGATTGATAAAATGCCCTTGTATTTTGTATATATGTACATTTCAGTTGGTCACAACAAAAAGATTAATAGGAACATTTTGCTTTTGTTGGCTAAACAAAAGCGGGAAAATTTGCGATCAGGAAAATTATTATCTCGTCAGCGTTTTTTTTTTTTTTTTTTTTCTTTTTTAACAGTACATCGAAAAGTTTCGCAGAGCATGCGGATACGTAAACGAGACGTATTGTTTGGTGTGCGTCAATAGATCTTCTTTGGTAAATCGAATTTCACTTTGTTTGGCAGTCTAGCCAATATTCCGTATTCCGTTCGATGCGTGGCGCCGTCGCCATATCAAAATAGAACATGCCACAATAACTTATTCGGCCGAACAAAATGGGGTAGTATTTTATAGAGTCCCGTTGGGTTACATACGATGAATACGTCAACGGCTGGGAACGTGTGACTG